GAGCTAGTAAGGTTGCCTTGTTGTTAGGGATTGAATTGTGTCCCCAAAAAAGATGTGTTGAAGTCCTAAGCCCTGCATCTGTGAATGTGACCTTGTTTGGAGAAATGGGGTCTTTCTTTAAAGACATTATCAGTTGAGTAAGGTACGTCCAAATCCGAATTCCTTCTGAGTGGTGTCTTATAAAAGGGGAGAACAGACACAGAAATAGGGTCGCACAGGGGGAGACACCATGTGAGGATCCATCTACAAGCCAGGGAACACAGAAAAACACCCAGGGCTACCAGAAGCTGAAAGAGACAAGGAAGGACGTTCCCCTACAGCCATCCGAGAGCATAGCCCTACCGACGCCCTGGATTCAGACTTCTAACTTCCAGAACCATGAGACAATACATTTCTGTTCTTTAAAGCGACCCACTTCGTGGTATTTTGTTAAGGCAGCCCTCAGAGACTAAGACACTTAGCAAGTCAGTTGCCACTGTGGACTGCTGCGTTTCAGTCCCGCTGGGGGCCTCTGGGAGGCAGCATAGAGCGTGCACCTCAGAGCCATCCACCCGAAGGGTGAGGGAGCTGGGGTATTGACCCACCGACTTCTGGCTGACACTTCTGGCATGTCTGGCCCCCTGCACGCGGCCAGAGCAAGCATCATGGTGTTTTCAGGCAAGAATGTGGACAGGGAGCCAGGAGTGTCCACCTAGTTACCTTCCACAACCTGAGACCATGCTGAGTGTTGAAGCAGGAAGAAGGGATAGTGGCCTGGGCAGGAAGGGGCCTGGCCTGACTGCTTTTGGGTGTCGGTCCTTTCCCGGCTCAGTTACCCCACTCTTACTTGCAGTCCTCCGATTAAAGGGCATAGCATTGCTCGTCTTCACACGCAGGTCATTCCCCTGTAGAAGAGGGTACAAGATGGCTCCTCCTGGCCTCCCCCAGGATGTGCCTGAGGGTGCCCAGCGGGGGGGTCCTGGCCAGAGCTGAGACCCCAAACACTGGCAGCAACCAGTCAGAACCTGGCACTGGGCAGGGTGCTGGAGGCCCACTAGTGGCTGGGTCAAGAGAAGGTTCAGGGGAGTGGGGGGCATGAGAAGAACCAGGGAGGCGGGAGGCACCAGCCCCTGGGCCGGCGCTGAACCAGCAGTGTGGAAGGCAGCATCCCTGACTGTCCACAGTCAGCACTCATGAAGCAAGTAGCTTTTAGGTACATTTTCATTTAAATCCCTTGCTCTCTGTACTGGTTTCCAAAGGGCTGCTGTAACAAAGTACTACAAACGAGGTGGCTTAAAACAACGCAGATGTATTCTCTCACAGTTCTGGAGGCCAGAAGTCCAAAATCAAGGTGTGGGCAGGGCCACGCTCCCTCTGAAGGTTCTAGGGGAGGATCCTTCCTTGCCTCTTCCAGCTTCTGGTGGCTCCAGGTGTTTGTTGGTGTGTGACATGGCCTTCCCCTTACGTCTCTGTGTGTCTCAAACTCTCCCTCTCCTTTTTCTTACAAAGACACCAGTCCTTGGTTGCAGGGCCCACCCCAAATCCAGGATGATCTCATCTCAAGATCCCTAACTAATAAGGTCACCTTCACAGGTTCTAGGGAGTTAGGATGCGGACATACCTTTTCAGGGCAACACAGTTCAACCCACGACACTCTCCAGACTCTGGCCACTTACTTTCTGAAACCCAAGAAGCAAACAGGGTCGGATAATGAGAGATGCCTGTATTTCAGTACTGCGCAGCCAGTTCAGCTGTCCAGTGCAGGCCGGGTGAATGGCAGCCTGACCCTTGGGGCCAAGGGAACCATTAACTGAGGGAGATGAGCCTGGACAGTGAGGCCCAAAGGGGAGTTTGGGGATAAAGGGGAAGAGGCTCCTGGCCTGTCTGGTTGGGGAAAGATGGCCGCAAACAAAGATGGTACCCTGAGTGGCTCGCTTTTACCATTTCTACCCAGTGGGCCCCAGGTGGGCCAGTAGAGACAGCAGCCAACCATATAACAACCATCCCATACCTCTCGCGAGACCCCCAGGGGGAGGAAACACCCAGTGGGGCAGGGATATTTCAGACACTCTTTTTCCCTCCTCCTTTCCTCTGGCTCGTCCTGTCTCCTTCTCTCCTGGGTTTGTGAAGTGTGCTCGATATGGAATGTCCTAATTATTTCTTTTCCCGATGAAGAAGGTGTTAATTGAGGCAGAGCTATTTCTGCGCCTGTGTCGCGTCACCCAGGCGGAAACGCAGAGGGAGGGAAGCAGGGCAGGGCCCCTCGGAAAACCAACCGCGAGCACAGAAACCAGGACTCTGGATCCTGAGCTGGTTTGGGGTTTTGTTTTTTTCCAGAGAAGAGGCCATGGGGCTCGGCTTGGGTCTGAGTGAGATTGGGAGGGGACAGGCGTGGGTGGGGCAACCGAAGGGTAGGAAGCCTCATTTAGGAGTATGACTGAAAAGCTGGAGATTAAAAATATAAAGTGTGTGAGTAAGAGACAGATATATACAGACACCCAGGCAGCAGGTTAATTTTAAAATATATTTATAACCAAGTTCCACAGACTTTCTGGACCATTGCTTTTCTAGAAGCAGCCCTCAGAGTGCAGCGCGGTGGTGGAGGGGGTGGAGGTGGGGGGCTTGCAGAAACACTACAGGCAAAGCTGCTAAAGATAGCCAAGTTCTCAGCATTCGTGCATTGGGAGCCAGTTCCCGTGCGCCCAGCACGGTGCTCCACACCCAGAGAAATACAGAAATCAAGTGGAAGCCTTCTTGCTTTCCAAGAGCCTCCAGAATAGTTTGAGGAGACAAGATCCCTCATTTAGAACCATTTCATAGCAACAAAGGCTATTGTGTGATTATAACCCCCCAGATATGAAAAGACGGGAAATGTTGTAGGCCCAGGCAAAAGAGACCAGTGTTGGCTGGGTTGACACAAGGGGACCCTGTGGGGTCGGGAACTAAGCCAGACTTGGACACTTGGACAAAGAACCAGGTTCTGGAAAGAGGC